AGCAAAAGAATTAATAAAGATGATATGGTATCATAAATACATTTTCATGGATGGAAGTATTTTTGACAGATTCAGGAAATATGAGACATAACAACAAATGGTAAAGGGATGTTTGGGCACAGAGGGCTACATGAACAGAGTTGCCACTGATTTTTGCACTGCAGCACGATGAAGAGACGAGGCCAGAGTAACTGCTACTACATTTGTTTTCTTTTACAATCATGTGCCACTTGGCAATGGCTACCTTTACGAAGTCTGAAAACCCCAGAATGCAACATCAAAACTCAAGAATCCATTTTCATCCAAAAGTAAAGGACCTTCAAGCAGCCCTTCTCATCAAATACCCCTTGTCCAGCGAGACACAGGGATTGATGAAAAAGTACTCAACAATTTCCTGTCCAATCACTTCTGTCAGCAATCAGCAGGGCCCTTAGGAGAACCCGTTAGAGCAGTAACAGTAGGGGATTCTTCAACCCATTTTGGAAGCCCTCGGCTACCCAGCAGCCTCCAGGGGGATCAGCTCATCAGGACTCTGCAGGTAAAGGGAGGAGTTCAATCACATCATCAAAGAATAGAGGAACGTTGGTGCTGGACAGGCACCCCAAAGTCACACGTCCAACCCTTCTCAGTTTCCAGAAAAGAGGCAGGTCAGCTCAGTGTCTTCAAAGAACCATGGATTCTCCCTCAAAGGGTACCAAACCAAGAAGAGGCACATATCAGTGCGCGCAGCAGCTCTTTCCACCCTAACTGTGGTCTGACAGGGCTGTCAGTCCCACTGCACCGATTCTAGGTGAAGCCATGTGATTCTAGATGAAGTCATCTATCCTAAAAGCAGAGAGTTACAAAATAATTGAAATGAAGGGCAGGACCAGATAGATCTCTGTTTATTCCTTCTGGCCTCATCTTGTTGTCATCTGTCTCTAAGGCCTATGAGAGAAAAGATGTCAAGGACCTGCTAGGAAAATGGGATGCAGGGCCATCCACCACTTCACAAGGAAGACCTTACAGAGAGGGCAAAATCTACCAACGTGTTAAAGGCACGGCCCCCTCTGACCCAGCAAGTTACTTTGAGGAACTGATCCTACAAATAGATCTATGTGGACCAAGTGTTGTCCGAAATAGCAAAAGACTGAGAGCAATCTAACTAACATCCATCAGTAGGGGGCTAGCCCAATTAACTTGGGTGTATCCATAAGGTGCAATATCAAAGTAGCACAAACAAAAACACACCAGCAAGTTCTTCGTTATGTCAAAAGAAATGATGAAACGATCTCCAAGAGATTTTGCTGCAGGAAAAAGCAAGGTACAGAATAATACAGCATTTCACCATTTATATTTTTTAAAAAGAGGGGATTGAGGGCATGTATGGGCACTCTGCCTATATATGCATACAATATCTCCGGAAGGACATACGAGAAGCTGGGAACACTGATTTGGCTCCAGGGAAAGAAAGTGGGCGGCAGGTTGAAAAGAGTGGGAAGGAGTCATCCTACGGCACACTCTCCCTTTCTTATCTTTGATTTCTGAATCAGGTGAATGCATTACCTAGTCAAAAAATATTTTTTTAAGATGTTTAAAGATCTGATCTTTTAAGAAAGAGTGAAAATGGATGAGAGCCTTTTTTTTTCTCTGACTTTACTTGGCCAAAGAAAATGTTGGCAAACCCAAGTGTGGCTCTTAATTCTAGCCTCTGAAATCCAAACGTCTGGGAATCCCCGTGCCACAGACAAACCAAGATGTACCAGCACACTAATGCTCTCTCTGATCCTGTCTGCCTGAGCTGGAAATGAGTCAACCAGCTGTAGTCACAAGCCTTTTCTTAAGATTAAATAGACAGATTTTTGCTAAGTTACTCGGCTTCACTTCCTTAGAAAATTATATTTATTAGTGGATATAGGTTACTTGACAAGTACCAGTGTGTTGAAATCTGTGCATAACACTATTTTAACACTCCAATGTCAGGAACAAAACTGGTGCTCTTAACTATCTGTGATGAACACATGATGGGCTGGCTAGTAGATATGTGAATGGATGAATCTGAACCATTAATACTCGATGATCAGACAGCTGTGGTGCCTATAAAATGCTAATGGGATCATCATATGGTATAAGGGTATTCTCCAACTAAACAAAAATAACCCCTCTGGAATACTTCTACAGGTTGGGGACTAAAATTCTGTATCAACATTTGGACTTCACTGTCTGCTTTTATCACAGTTGATTAATAATGGACTATAGCTAAACCCCAGTTCTGTATCAGGTACAAACAAAAATAAACCAAACTCTCTGTTCTCATAAAGCCTTTATCTGAATCCTAGATATACAGGCCAGAGGCACAGACTCAAGGCCCCATGTGTATATAGCTCCAGGCAAACTCCACTGCTAATAGTCTCACACCAACCTAATAAAAAGTGCTGGGAGACATGTGGCCAGGCCGATCACAGATAAAGCCAAAACACGGTCCTGACAAGCACAGTGACACTGAGCCCGCACAGGAGACCATTTGAGAATTATGACATTACATTAGAGCATAGCAGGATGAGACTAAAATCTCACAGCGCCATCCGTGACATCACTTAGTTCACGCAAATGTTACCTGACAATTACACTTCTTAAGAACACAGGTTTTTCCAGAGGAAGGGGAAAATCCATTAAACAAAATCAGATGGGAAGTTCTGCCTCTGCAAAATAAGGAAAGCTTCATAGATAAAGCTTGGCTTCCCTCACGTTCGAGGGGGTGGCATTCTGTTGGAGAAACATCTCAATGCAAAGTTATTCCCAGCGTGACTAACAACCACCAGCCGCCCACCCACACGAGTGTTTGAGGATGTGGTGGAGTACTCACAAAATATTTGGATGACTAAACGCTACTGTCAGATTTCAAAGAGATACTTAAACACATTCCTGTAACAAACTGACTTCCATTCTTAATTGTAAAACACCAGTGAAAAATACTGGGTAACAAGTTATTCGAGGGACTATAAACTTTTAAAAATGAATTTTCACAAAATTAATGTATTAATCAGCTGATTCTAACAATTAATACTTTAAATTGGGTTGGAAATTTTGAGAGGCATCCAAAAAAGTGCCTCCTTACATCAATGTCTCAAGGATGCCCCCAGTCTAATTTTGTGCTAAACTATCCGTTTAACTTGCTTCTCAAATACATCCACCATGATTGTATCACCATAGAAATAAATCCACTCAGAGGAGTCACAGAGAAGTAAGACCTGCCAAATGAAAACTTTACTAAAAATATGACAAACTTAAACCAGGCTAGTACTAAATATAACTATCACTTCACTCCACTGAGAGCTCGAGAAATAAATGAGATAACAAAAACTTGAATGCATGATGGATGGAAAATTAGAAAGCAGTCTCTCTTCTCTTAACAAATGAGCTCACCAGAGATCGGAAAAGAAAGCATCTTCAAAAGCAGCGGAAGGAAAGCGCCTTGGGAAACCAACTGCTGTCCTCCTCCCCTGCTTCCCGGGAAGGCGAAACACAGGAGTCACGTCAATACACACTTTCCAGCTAAGACGTGCCCAACGTGCTCTGACAAAACAGGCCAACCTGAGCACACAGGGAGTCCCTTCTCACAGAGGACAATGAGCCACACGCATTTTCTACTGCTTCATCTACCTTCCTGGATGACAAAGATAAAACTGCGATCAGGGTGCTTCAATTCTTTGAGCACTTATTTAAGCTGCAAAACCAGTGCACACCCAGATAAAGATGTCACCTTACAGGTGACGCCACTTAGGGGAACAAGAGGGAAAAATCACCTCTCTCAAGAGAAGGCCGTCGTCAGAGGAGCTGCTGGCTCAGAGAAGCTCCCTCCCAGGGACTACACCAACTGCCAGCAGGGTCAATCACAGGCACACCAGAGAAAAAATCAAAACAGAACTCTGTCCCTGCCTTCCCTGACTTCACTGGAAGAGAAAGAGTTCTATAAATCAGCTTTAAGACTAAGTACTTGGCCTACGGTCAGGATAGTAAAATACTAGGTAGTGATAAAATTTAGTCATCGCGCAAAGAATTTCAATTAAAAACTTGTCTCCTTGCTTCTGGCTCAAAGAGTATCAAAGGCATGTTTACGCACTGTTAGTGAGAAGGAAAATTTTGATGCAACCTTTTTAGAGGGCAATTTGGCAACGTCCACCAACATCTTAGGCGCACATATCCTCTGACCATCAACGTAATTGCTAGGAATTTATCCCGGAGATACACTACACAAGGACTTTTGCAAATTACTACGTGTATTGTAGCCTTGTCCATAATAGCCAAAATAGAGACAGCACCCTACATGCCCACCAGTGAGCAGACTGTGGACTGTCAGCACACGCTGGAGTCCGAGAGAGAGGGAACTTGGTCTGTGCTGACACGGAATGCTCTCCAAGGTCTACTATACAGTATGTATACTAGGATCTAATTTCTACAAAGATACGTTTTTTAGTGTATAAATGTTCCTATATATGCATTAAGTTTTTCTAGATGGATACCTAAAAACTGTTAGTAGTTTCTTCTGTGGAGTGGGGCTAGGAGAAAAGAGGAGAAAGGAAATAATTACTTTTCATTTTATACCCTTCTGAAGTGAATTTTTTTTACCATGCTGATATATTGCCTGAATACATCTTTAAAAAACATGTCAGGGGGCCAGCCTAGTGGCATAGTGGTTAAGTTCAGGTGCTCTGCTTCTGTAGCCTGGGGTTTGCTGGTTTGGATCCTAGTGCAGACCTACACACTGCTCATCAAGCGACGCTGTGGCAGCGTCTCACATACAAAAGAGAAGAAGACTGGCACAGATATTAGCTCAGCAACAATCTTCCCCAAACAAAAAGAGGAAGCTTGGCAACAGATGCTAGCTAAGGGCCAATCTTCCTCACCAAAAAAAAAAAAAAAAAAAAAAAAATCATAGAGCATTAATTTTTTAATTGCCTTCCAAAAAATAAAATCGATGTTCTTTTTCATTAGTTGTACATCTTGCTATTTTTTTGTACCTTATTTCCTTCGTACACCCATCCGAGACTCTTCACACCAAAAGCAGCCTGGTTGGATGAGACATCCAGACATGTGACAGGCTGGCCGTAGACATAATGGAGGGTTCTGGCAGAGTCTTCAGCTTTTAGCAGGTATACCAGATCTCCAGCAGTGGCTACTGCCACAGGGTACCTTCCAGTATCTGGAACTATTTCAAGGTAGTCAACCTGTTAAAGGAGAAGAGTTGTTTAGTCCTTCAGGTCTCACCCACAATTCCTCCTACATATGAATGAGAAGACCAGCAACCCAACAGAAAAAGACAGGCAAAGGGACAGTTTACAGGAAATGAAACAGTTTTTACATAAATGAAGAGATTCTCATCATAAAAGAAACACAATACACTCCAAATAAGAGAAATACAAAGTAAGAATTCACGAAGATATCATTTCCACCTGTCCTATCAGTAAAGATCAATTAGTCTGCTAAGACACTGGGCTACAGCTGGTGGGATGTAATTTGGTCCAACAGCCATGGAGGGAAATCTGGCAACACTTACCACAACGTCAAATGCACATGCACTCGGACCCAGCAAGTCACTTCTAGGAATTTGCTTACAAATAAACTCACATTTATGCAAAACAACTGTTATTTGCTGTGGCACTATTTTGTCATAGCTAAAAACTAGAAAAACCTAAACATGGGTTACTAAGGGACTAATTAACTTAATAGTAAATCTATGCATTGGAATACCATGCAGTCATAGAAAAAAGCACAAAGACATTCTTTATAAATTCACACAAATGGGATCTCCAAGGTAAGCTTGGGGAGGGGAAAGCAAGGAAGCAAGGTGAGCAACAGGATTTGGTGTGTAAAAGGTGGGCCAGAGCAAGCACATGACGTGCTTGGCGTGCACAAGTGTAAATCTTCTAACAATGGCTGCCTCCAAGGGGGGAAACGAGCTGTGAGATGGGTTGGAAGGGAGATTTCTCACTGTAAACCTGAGTCTTTTTAACTCTGAACCATGAAGGTATAATAACTATTCAAAAAAAAGCTAAGGTTTTATTATTTTTTTTACAAGAAATTGAATAAATAAAACTCAGTTCCAAATTAGTAAAAATCACATTTTAACATCTGTGCAAATACCAAAAAGGTGTTGCTAAAAGGTTAAAAGTGTCTGAGTTATCTGCTGTCTCCTGGCTCCAATGCCACCTGAGGGTGGGAAGGCCACTACAAGCACTTTTACACCATCACAGTACTCTCGACTGCATGGCTGCCGCCACCTGCTCTAACGTGCGTGGGTACGAGGAGCTCTCTTCAATAATTTGCTTTTCTAGACCCAGAAGTGGCACATTTCCCCCTGAGTGCAGTTTACAGCAGGTTTTCACCTCCCTGAGTAAATTGCGAAAGTACCAAAGCAGAAGGTGAGCCATGCCATGTGGTTACAAAACCCACAGTGTAAACAGGACAGCGCAGCCCTGACAACAATTCAAAAAGTTCAAACGACTGAGTCCCAAGGACTGTCTGGAGAAGCCTGAGAGGGTAAGCGTCCGGCAAGTGCTGATCACAGGCCCAGTGGGGTGAGGGCAGCTCTGCACCCGGCCCCAAGGGCCAGCAGAGAGGCAGGATGTTCTAGGCTGTATTACAAACCCGGAGCACTGCCACTGCGATTCAGGGAGCCTATGCAGGGAAGACAAAAATGGTCCAGCTCTATGAGCCAGGGGGTGCCTTTTCCAGTGACAGCGCATTCTGTGGCAACCCCTCATCCAGGGTGCAAAACAATACATAACAAGTTTTATAACACATGCCTCCAGCAACGGTTGCCTGCTTCCTCTCTCTCCTATTCTAAAAATCATTTATTTTCCAAAAACCAACATCCTCAGTCTAGCCATTTAATTTCACCTTAATGTTGGATTTTGGACAGACCAAGAGGCTCAGATTGACAGTGGCTGTGCCATTTGCTGGGTGCTGTAAACTACTTCAAAAAGGTTCCAGTGTGTGCCAGGATGCCACCTTATTGCCAAGGCAGGATTTACACTTCACAGAGGGACTCACATCTTAGGTAACTGTCTGAGTTCATGTAATTATTGCTGGTCTACAGTGTTCTTTAGTCAGAGACCAAGTAACAAGCACTACGGTAGATTTGAGAACAAAGAGAAATATGGTACTTTCACATGTTTCTCATAAATAAACCCAAGATGAGATGACAGCATCAGGCAGCTTTGGGGGAAGACTACACCCAAACTGCAGACTGATCGTTAAAGGGACAAGAAGCTTACGGAGGAGAAGCGGTGACACCATGGCTTTTTAGTTATTCAAATCCAACCGGATTTCCACCAGGGGGAAAAGGGAGAGGAGCAGGATTTGTTCCAGGTCAGGCCATCAATTCATTATTCCGTATTGGCTTTTGTCTTCACTCTCCTACTAATGCCAAAATCAAGTTTGTCTAAATTAAATCCAAATTCAGCACAGAGAGATTTGAGCCCTTCCTTCTTACCACCAAACCACCTCCTACCACACAAATGTAGAGACTTAGGTACAACTCAACTCAGAAATAAGCTCTGTGTAAAGAACTCTTCAGGTGGCTCAGCTTCTCACACGACATCCTGGAGCACAGCTACCCAGTTAACACTGACTTCAATCCATTTTCACTCAAGAGTTACTCTTAATTCCAGGTGAGAAAATCTTGGGATGAAGAAAGTGTAGGATGGAAACCTTCCTTCCCATAAGGACTGGGGTGACAGCACTGAACTCATTTTCACTCACATGTTAGGCCAGAAACTGACCTCAGATTTCCACGGGTGACTGTCCCGTTAATGCGAAGGAGGCTGAGGACCACAGTGAGAAACTCTGGCCCTGAAGCCAGCCCTGAGGTCTGAATCACAACCTTAGCTCTGACACCAGGAGGAAGTCAATTCACTGCTCTAAGCTTCTATTCTTGGTAAATGGAGAAATTTACTACCTATTTCACAAAGCTATTGTGAGATTTATGGATGGGAGGCCCACGAATGCGAGCTGCCAACATCATTACTATTTGTTTATATGAGACCAGAGATTGCAAGAATGAAAGATAAAATGATCAGACTAAAAGCTCACCAGTTTCTGAACTTCAAATTCTGCAGCTATTTGCCAATATCCCTCCTCATTGGGGCATAACATTACAACATCAAAAGCAGAAGCTGTGGCAACAGTTGCATCTTCCTGGCTTAGGGCTAGTGCCTGTATTCTTGCATCATGCTCAAAACGATGAATAGGGTACTTTCCAGTTCTTAGATCCCAAATATTAAGAAAGCCTATGTAGAAAAAAGAAATGCAAGCAACAATTTTAAATTCACTTAATATGCACAATTATAAAATATCATGCAATATAAAGAAAGATAAATTAGTTACAAAAAATATTTGCATCACATATAACAGAGGACCAATTTCCTTAATATATAAAGGGCTTCTAAGATTCAATAAGAAAAACAATTGAAAAGTGAGCAAAGGACATAAGCATGCTGTTCACAGAAATACAACTGACATGTAAATGAGAAAAAAGTTAAAATTTACTCACAATTAGAAAAATATAAAAACTGTAATATGATACCATTTTTCATCAATCAAATTGACAAAGACAAAAAAATTTCAGAACCAGCCTGATGGCCTAGTGGTTAAAGTTTGGTGCTCACTGCTTAGGCGGCCTAGGTTCCCTTCCCAGTTGCAGAACCACACCACCCATCTGTCAGTGGCCATGCTGTGGTGGCAGCTCACACAAAAGAACTAGAAGGACTTACAGCTAGGATATACAACCATGCCCTGGGGCTTTGGGAAGGGAAAAAGGAAAAGAGGAAGACTGGCAACACTTTCTCTGCAAAAAAAATAATAATTTTTTAAAAAGTAGTTAAAAAAACTCAGAAAGCATTTTGTGGTTGAAGATATAAGGAAACAGGCTCTCTCTCAAATTGCTGGTGGGAATGTAAACTAATTCACCCACTTTGGAGGCAATTTGATAACATTACCAAATTACAAATGTATATAAGATAGTCATTGTAATGTTTTTAATTATGTCAAAAGATTGGAAGCTATCTAGATGTCCATCAATAGAGAATTACTTAAATAATGGCACCTCCTTAGTTCAGAATTTAAATAAGGCGAGCAGTTAAAAAAAGAGTGAGTCAGGGGCTGGCCCTGTGGCCACGTGGTTAAGTTCGTGCGCTCCGCTGCAGGCGGCCCAGTGTTTCGTTGGTTCGACATGGCTCTGCTCATCAGGCCATGCTGAGGCGGCATCCCACATGCCACAACTAGAAGGACCCACAATGAAGAATATACAACTATGTACTGGGGGGCTTTGGGGAGAAAAAGGAAAAAAATAAAATCTTTAAAAAAAAAAAAAGAGTGAGTCAGGGGCCAGCCCTGTGGCCGAGTGGTTAAGTTCGCAAGCTCCGCTTCAGCGGCCCAGGGTTTCACTGGTTTGGATCCTGGGCACAGACCTAGCACTGCTCATCCAGCCACGCTGAGGTGGTGTCCCACACAGTGGAACTAGAAGGACTTAAAACGAGAAAAGACAACTATGTACTTGGGGGCTTTGGGGAGAAGAAGAAAAAAAATAAATAAAGATTGGCAACAGATGTTAGCTCAGGTGCCGATCTTTAAAAAAAAAAGAGTGAGTCAGTCTTACACACAAGCTATATGAAATGATCAACAAAATATACTGTTAAATGAAAAAAGTAAAGGACAGAAGAGTGGTATAGTATGCTATATTACTTTTGTGTTTTAAAAAAATGTATATACACAGACTACTGCAGAAGGACACACAAGACACTGTTAACAAGGACTGACCCCTAAGGAAAGAAACCAGGGAAAAGGAATAAAAGTAGGAGGGAAAGGGGCCAGCCCAGTGGCGCAGCAGTTAAGGCCGCACGTTCTGCTTTGGCGGCCCAGGGCTCGCTGGTTCGGATCCCGGGTGTGGACATGGCACCACTTGGCAAGCCATGCTGTGGTAGGTGTCCCACGTATCAAGTAGAGGAAGATGGGCACGGATGTTAGCTCAGGGCCAGTCTTCCTCAGCAAAAAGAGGAGGATTGGTGGCAGATGTTAGCTCAGGGCTAATCTTCCTCAAAAAAAAAAAAAAAAAGAGGGACACTTACTGTATATCCCCTTGTATTCTCTGAAATTTTACCAAAAAAAATAAATTTTTTAAAAATGCTTTTGTGAGAGACCTAAGAAGAATGGGTGGTTGCTGAGTGGTTTAAACACAGGGAGTTCTTAATTCATTCTTCTATTTGTCCACTCATGCCAGGCACTGTTCTAGACACTAGCAGTACCTGAAAACAGCCATTAACCAACTCTAATTGGTTCTTACATGTATTTTATACCTTCCTCACCACCACCCTCTTCTGGCCCCCACTGGCAGTGACACTTCATTTTGCACAGCTCTAAAACACAAGCTAGACCATCCAATGATTGTTAAAAACTGATTTTATCATACACTCTTCTCCCCAGCCCCTTGAATACTGCTACCCAGATGAATTCCTCTGACACACACTGGCCGTGTCTCAACCTCTCTGGAATTGTCTACAGCACTCATCTCCAAGTGCAGTCCTCTGGATCAGCAGCATCAGCATCACGAGGGGCTTGTTAGAAATGCAGATTCTCAGGCAACAGACACTCTGGGGATGTACACTCAAGTTTGAGAACAGTTAAGTTTGGGAGCTTAAACTTTTCTATCAGAAATATAAACTTTCCTGAATTTGCAATACTCCTTATTCTCTTCTCACCAAATAATTTCTTTCTATTGTTCCCATCCACTAAGCCACTTCCTTCCCCTCAAAGATTCATCCAAGAAAATAGTTACTTTCTGCATCACATTGGATAATGTCCCAGTCCAATTTCCACCTGATTTTATTTTTCAAAATCCACTGAGAAATAATTCTGTGGAGACAACACAGTCTGTGGCTACAAGAGTTCAAATCCAGCTCCAGCACTCGCTAGATGAAGGTCTCGGGCAGGTCAGTTAAAGCTGTGAGCCTGTGCCCTCCTCCGAAAAACTGAAGATACCCTCACCTGCACAGGCCTGTTGGGAGGATGAAAGGAGACAAACCCTACAAAATGCTGGAGACAGACCCATCATTCTTACCTTTTTTACATGTATTCTATAGTGCCTGCCGTCTTATAAAGCATATTTAATCTATTAACAATGCCAGTTTCCTCTCTATTGCTCATCCGCAAATCCAGTTCTACTTCCTATAACTTCCTATGACCTAAAACAGATAAAGCTTTTCACTTCTCTTCTCTTTGCAATTCATCCTCCCATCTTTCTTTCCTCTTACCTTGTACTTTGCCTTTAAACATTAAATGCTTCGAACTTAAGATCTTACTATAAAGTATCATTCAGCACTAAATAAATACAGAGAGTCAGAAGAAAATAATACATTTGGGCTGCTTTGCAAGACTTTCAAACTGTCAGTAGGCTAAGTAGGTGATTACAAACAAAAGCAGAGCCTTCTTCAAGCTAAATGTTGCTTCAAATGTAAAACACAGTGTACTTTTCTAGGAATTATGATAAACTTGGGGGATAAGCAGATCAGAGAAGTCTTCACAACACATTCCCCTGGCGGCTACTTTGGCAAATTCTTTCCATTCTGACTCAGAAGACACTGATATGCTGCAGAGAACGCCAACGGCTCCACACATTAAATAGCAGATAGGCACACTCCAAGATGTGCCTCCTTTACAGAGTCCTGCATTGCATTTGTCTGCATGTGCTTGGAGGCATCATGATAGACAGTGAAGAAAAATAAAAATCGCTATTTGCATAGAGCTTTCAAGTGTCTAGACACTCATCCTTTGTCTCCTCTCCTTGAGCGCTCACTTCCACCTTGGGAGGGGCAGCACTCTCCTCACTTCACAAAAGGGAAGAAACAGAAGCTCCAAGTCGTTAAACAGCTGGTCCGAAGCTGGGCTGGAATTGAGCTGGAAAAGTGCAGGATGAGTGGCTGCGTTTACAAGTGCATAAAATAACTACGAGCTCGATGAGTAAGTGATGTAGGCTCAGCCTGTGCTCTGCCAAGTGTGGAAGTTATTCACCCACAGCTCACTCAAAGCACACATGGAGTTTATCTATAAACACATTTTTCATTGTTAATCAAGTATTGGTTTTGTTGGCATCATTTTTCCAACAGAATGGTATGCAATAAAATACCCTTCACTACAAGGTTGAGTTCCACAGAGCTGTCCTAAGTAGGGTCTTTCTGGAAAATGTATTCCAGGGTTCCATCAATTTAATGGCCACATCCTGCTCTTCTGAATGCCTGTTGTGTCCCGATCTTTGCCAATTGTCTCCATTTCAACTATTAAGTATATAACTTGGTCAAATCCTCACTTGTCAGTGGTGCCACTATCATTTCCACAGTCCTCCAAGATCATTTTTAGGTGCACAAACATGTAAGATTATGTCCTCTTGATGAATTGACCCGTTCTTAGACGAAATGTCCCTCTTTACCCGTTTACATTCTTTGCTCTGAAATCCGCTTTGTTTGATACTGATATAGCCACTCCAGCTTTCTTTTGATTAGTTTTCGCATGGCATATAGACATGTTTCTGTCCTTTCACTTTGTCTCGTGCCTTTATATCTAAGTGGGCTTCTTGTAGACAGCGTATAGTTGGTCTTGCCTTTAAGTGGAGCGTTTAGACCATTTATCTTTAACGTGATTACTGGTGAGGATGGGTTGAATCTAGCCTTTTGCTGTTTGTTTTCTATTTGTCCCATTTGTTCTTTGCTCCTTTTTTCCCTCTTTTTCTGCCTTCTTTTGGATTGAGTACGTGTTTATGCCATTTTAATTCCTTTGTTGGCTTATTAGCCAAAACTCTTTGTTGTGTTATTTTATGGTTGCTTTAGGATTTTAACACACACCTGTAAGATACTGTAGTCTGCCTCCGAGCAATAATATATACCACTTCACACACAGAGTAAGAACTTCACAGCAGCACACTTCCACTTCCTCCCTTCTCAGCCTCTGTACTATTGTTGTCATACTTATTGTTTCCACATATGTTATAAATTCCACATACATTGTTAGTATTTTTGCATAAGCAGGCAATTATCTTTTAAAGAGACTTAAATAATAAGAAAAAGAGCCATTTTTATTTATCCATGTAATTACCTCTTCTACTGCTCTTCGAATATCACTTTTAACATTACTAAATCGTGCAGTTTTTGCAAGATTTGCAATTTCACTTTGCAACTGTCCTCTTGGATATTTGACCCAAAAACACATGGGTAAGGTGAGCAGGAACAGATAACCAGCTACC